AGCTGAAGTGGCCTGCAGTACTGCACCCTAACCATTGTGCCACCTCGGCTCTATTAGGAAATGTAGGAAAGAAAGGAAAAAAGAAGAAAAAGGCAACTTCCAATTCCCTTTGGTGCAGTAGAATAAGACAGTAATATCAAACCTCAAACTTGTTACTTTTACATAATATTGTAAATTAGCCATTTCTAAAATAACAAATCTACCTAATCAGAAAAGCCCAAAATCAAAGTTTCAATTTTTCCCCACCTCGAGCACAAAGTCCAGAACTGGTTTCCAAGTAGAAACAAAGCAGTCAATTCGGCCATCTCTGCTAACTCCATCCATTTTTGCAGCCATTCATTCATTGTGGGAGATCGAACCATTTCAATTTTCAAAGATGGATCTGAAATCAAAATCTTTGTCTGTTCCTTCTTCTTTTTTTCAACAGAGGAAACGAAGCAGGTTTTGAGACTGAGCTTAACGGAGTTCTCACTGCCCAAATTCTACTTGTTGTTTGGAATTAGCAAAGTGAAATCGGCAGCAGTGATTGCATTCCGATCCAGCTATCGGGACCGGTCATTCTCTCCTGGTTCCTATGAGAGAGAAACATTTGCACTGACATCTCTGGAAACGGTCACAGAAGCATTGCTGGAAATTATGGAGGTATGGCAAGGACGTCACGATACGAGTATACAAACATGAGTAAGATATTAGGGTTGCAAAAATATGTAATTTGTAGATAATTCAAGTAGCCCTTTTGTACATTGGTTATGGCAAAGCATACACAGCAGAGATCAGAGTTAAGATAGCATTGATGTCTTTTAAGATGGGTTTTAGTCTGATGTATAAAATTTTTATGATAGGAAATAAAAAAAGAAAATATTACATTAATCTGATTGAGAATTGGTGCTCACAATCTAGTCCACATATACAGCAGAATAAAGTGATGGAGTGGATTATACACATCAGGAAAGAGATAATATTTTTAAGGTTTTAAACAAATGCCTTGCAAGTAAAACAAATATACATAAAGAAAAAGGATTTAGCCCGGACTGTTTCCTGATACATATGCTGAATGTACAAACATGGATTGGGGTGTTGTTTTCATATAGTAGAGCATTCAAAAACGAGACTTTCCCATACTAACACAGTGTATTCGATCTTCCTATCTTAAAATTCAACTGTCATTAATGTCCTCTTGATGAAATAGATGGCTATTATGTATGCATGACTAAGCAAAAATATGTGTGTGTGTGTGTGTGTGTGAGAGAGAGAGAGAGAGAGAGAGAATGAGAGAGAGAAACAGAGAGAGGGGGGGAGAACCTGTAATTTTCTGTCTCTGGGGGTCTGAGAATAGACAATTAAGTATAGACTGCAGCCACGCTCAGTGGTTACTTAAGGTAGTCCTCAACTTAGGAGAACACTTCAGGGGTCCTTGGTGCTCTCTGACAACAATTCAATAATTAGATCATAAATCATTGCAGTCACGAAGTGAGATGCTCAAGTGATCATCTCGCTCAACAACTGCAATCCCAGCTGTCCCCATTGCAGTCATTCAGAAACTGCTTGTATCGTTACGCGGATGGAGCAAAATATCTGCCTGCAGAAGTGGCTCAGGCAGCTCCCCTCCATGTGCCGAAGGGAACTGCAGTGCTGGACTGGAGAGAAGAAGCTCGGACTTTCATGATCCAAGTTTCTCTTCTCCCATCCTCACCTAGCATGCAATGGAAAAGCATGTAAATGCGAATAGACA